AAGAAGTATCTATATATAGAAGTATATATATATATATAAGTGTATATATATATATATATATAAAACTATATTTTCTATAGCAAATTAGAATATAATTATTTATAAAATAAGTGAAGGATTTGCCTGATTAATTGTGATTTGTAATGATTCATTCATATTTTTTTCTTACAGTGATGAGGTGTTTGGGAATTCCAAGCCGTGTTGTCACAAGCTTCTGTTTTCCTTGCTCAATTGAGAATCCCCTTGGAATCAATGAGATTTTTGACTCTACTGGTAAAAACCTATGTGGCAAAGACAAGCTATGGTAAGCAAGAAAAATATATAGCTCTTTTGCCCTTTCAAAAAGTTATTTCATAGGAAAACTGGTATGAATTTAGCAGATCATTGTTTCTCTTTGGTGTATGTCTTTCTTTAGTGGGGTTATGGTCTTCAGTTTCCTAATAATGCATTTCAAAACCTTGAAATTACTAAAGAGGCAGGCTACTCAATGTAGATTTTCAAAAAAGAAAAAATCAACACCCCTTGTGAGAATCCATGCTTCCTACTTATCCTTCTCAGCTAAAAAGAATAAGGCCATCAAACTTAGGAGCTGTAAAAGTAGATTATTAACTGCTAGGGAAAAATTATCATTAATTTGGACTTTTATATTCAGTCATAATCACTTGGTTGATACCTCTGTTGTCCTCCTGATGTTCCTTATAATGGATTGGTTCATTCTTATAAACCTTTTAATTCCTGTTAAACAAAGGAACTGTGGTGCCATGTTATCATCTCAAGGAAACATATTTTGCAATCAGGTCTGTGGGGTTCTGGAACATATTTCCAGTCTGAGTGATATAAAGCAAATAAAACCACTCCTGTCATAAACATCATTAACAGTGTTAAGATATGCAAAATCTTCAGCTGATTTAAAGATTATCATGGGCATGGTTTTCCTCAGTCATAGGCATTAAACTTGGTAATCCAAGGGACATCTTTAATCATATATTCCTTCATTCTACAGGCGATACCACTGCTGGAATGAGTCTTGGATGGCTCGCAGAGACATTAATCAGTGCTGTGGTGACTGGCAGTGTCTGGATCCAACACCTCTGGAAACAGGCAGAGGTAACTTTACTATAGTTGTAATCACTTTCCTCAGATTATGTTGCTGAGATTCCCTACTACTCGGGTTATGATGTGTCATAACATTTTTGTTCTCTGGTTTAGGTTCAGCTTGCAGTGGTCCTACATGGGTTAGAAGCATCAGGGAAGGGGAACTGGACTTGGATTATGATGGTCATCATATGTTTTCTCGAGTAAATTCAAACTATGTTGGCTGGCTTTCCCAAAACAATGCCAAAAGAACAAAATTTTTCTGTGATGCATGGCCATGTGGACAACGTCTAATCACCAAGAGTGTTGGCAGTGAGCAATTTGAAGACATCACAGGCGCTTACAAGTATGAACTAGGTATGTTGAAAACATATTAAATGCATTAGAGGAAGTATCAAAGTAATCTCTCCTGTGTTTTCATGTGCAAAACACTCTGAAATTGTGTTCTCATTTTTGAGAAAGAGTCAGATGCTTTTCTCTTTAAAGATTTAGATTTTAAAACTTTTAAACATATTTAGCTGATTACAACAAAGCACATACTAATTAGGATAGGATAGGATATAGGATAGGATATAGGATAGGATAGGATAGGATAGGATAGGATAGGATAGGATAGGATAGGATAGGATAGGATAGGATAGGATAGGATAGGATAGGATATTTTAGATGGAAGGGCCGACAATGACCATCTCATCCAACTGCCTGACATGTCAGGACTGACTGAAAGTTGAAACATACTATTAAATACCTCTTCTTAAGGCACTGACAACCATGGCCCATCAACCACCCCTCTAGGAAGCCTGTTCTAGTGTTTGACCAGCCTCACAATAAAGAAATTGTTCCTAATGTCTAGTCTAAACCTTCCCTAGCACAAATTTGAACGATTCCCATGCTTCCTGTGACTGGACACCAGGAAAAAGAACTCAGCACCTCTGCTTCCACTTCCTCTTCTCAGGAAGCCGGGAAGAACAATGAGGTCACTGCTCAGCCTCCTTTTCTCCAAACTAGACAAAGCCAAAACTCTTAGTTGCTCCTCACAGGACATGCATTCCAGACCTTTAAATAACAGTGTTTGTACGTATATGTTTTGATCTCACCTTTAAAGTAATTTAAAATATTGGCAGACTCAAGAAAACCTGAAAAAAATACCACAAATTCTTCTAAACCTAGGACTAACACCTTACTTGTTGCTTCTTGTAGTAGGTCTGTCAGAAAATATATACTTGCTAAAAATACTTACTAAATTCATGTTTTTTTAGCATATTCTGCTGTTCTTTGGGCCATGGATTACTGATTTTCATATTCCAGTAGATGGGAGGAGTTCAACCATCAAAATTGCATTAGGGAATGGACAGTCGATCACAGCTGATTGTACATTTGCAAGCTCTGTGGGTTTTTTTAGTTTGTTTTTGGTTGCTCAGTTGGAAAACAATAGTTTCTTTGTTTTAATGGTATATTTTGTCTTTTGAACGGTAGTATCTAATATTCACCCTTATCCTTTTAAAGAATTATATTTTGAGTTTTGTACTAACTATACATTTTAAGATTTACATGACCATTTTTATATTTAACTACTTTAAAGTAAAATAAGGTTTTAATTTTTTTTTCCCCCTGAGGTGTTTATTTTCTTCTGTGCATTCAGTCTGCTGTATCTCGTATTTCATTATCTGGTGCATTTGTTCTACAACAACCTGCTACTTTGGGTTCCAGGAAGAAGAAGCAATAAATTTAATTATCTTTATTATTTGGGTAGAATAATAATAGGGTTCTTGTGCCTCCAGCAGATTCATTATCATATATCTTCTTCAACAGGTTCTGTGAAAAACAAAGAAACTATTGTTTTCCAACTGAGCAACCAAAAACAAACTAAAAAAACCCACAGAGCTTGCAAATGTACAATCAGCTGTGATCGACTGTCCATTCCCTAATGCAATTTTGATGGTTGAACTCCTCCCATCTACT